TTGGAAATCGAACCTACCTCTTTTCTATCTTTCATGTTGAAATTTGTAACTTTGGTGGTTGTTTAGCCACTAAAGGTTCATACTTGTGTATCACTCTTGCGTTTGTCTGATTGTTTTACAGAAACAGAGAAAGATTTGAAAAAAGTGCTGCGTAAAGGTGATTTTGATGCGATTGAACAAAAAGTAACTCCAAAAACCCTGACAAGGTGTAAAAGTAATGCCTTACTCAAAGCTTTCCAGGTTGGTCTGATAATTTTATCTTTACCTATTTTACTGGCATACTTAACTTAAGGCTGTTTCGCCAGACCAAATGACAAAAGTGATCCTTAACTACTGTGATTTGATTTCAATACTCCATATAACTAGCTATTCATACGTCTGCTACTCTCTCAGCTTTTAGCTTCAAAACTCAAGCCACTTGTAACTTGTTCACTATCCGAGAGTGTACTTGTATCTTTATCACCCTTGAAATGTCACACTGACTTGCAATCACGTCTTTTTCAGTTTTTTTTTCTTTCTTAGCTCTTTCTCCCACAATTGAAAAACTCTCCTACCACTTTCAAGAACGTGAGGCTAACAAGGAATCAGAAACAATAACATTCATTTTAAAAGACCTTTTGATTAAAGGGATAACTGTATTTCTTGTCAAACATAGGTCAGCAAACAACTCCGAGATTTAGCACATGGTGCAAACCCGGAGAAAGACGATCTAGAGATGCTGGAAAAATCTATAGACGGGTTTACATCAGCCTTAATAGACCCTCTTAAAGCCGACGCCGATACCAGAAATACATTTCAAAGTTGTTTTGATGATGTGGTGGACGAGGCGATCGACAAGAAGCAAAAGAAGGTACTAAACGAGTAGTAAAAATGGTTTCTAACCAATACGTATGCGTTATTGACCAAGCGTGAGGTAAGATGGCTGGATATTGGCTGAGTTCTTTTTCATGGATCGAGACGAAGTGGAGGTCATAGAAAGGAAAGGAAAAGGAAAGGAAAGAAGAGAGACAACAATGTCTTCAAAAACTGCCTCTGACGAAGCCTTGTGTGATATTACAACGGGGAAAAGATAATTATGAGTTTTGTGCGCACAATATTATATTTGGTACCATCTCATTATACAGCAGGTCATTTGAATGTCTTTGCACTGTCCGCACAAAGTAACAGAGGAACTGTAGTGAAAGCAAATTATATTATTGTGAATCCACTAAATGATGTGTCATAAAACTGAATGATTAAAAGACGCTGAACATGCCTATATCTCGACGCAATAGCTGATCTGGCCAGAATTTATTTTCCACCTGAATTGTATTAGTTGTTTGTTAGAAATCTTTTATCCTTGTTTTGGCATGGCTTTTCTGTTTTAGATCACAGATGACGTCAAAATGTGGTAAGGACAAAAAAGTGGCGTAGGAGGCTCAGCCGAGAGCGTCACTGATGTGTTGCTAGTATTGTTTAAATACAATGAAGGATAACTTTGTTTAAGGTGACGTCATCTAGGAGGTTCTCCTCCGATAGGTAATATACAAGAACCGATGCAAATTCAGCTTATTGTTTAAAATAATGTATGGCGACGAATTTTTTCGCAGTTCATCTGTCATCCAGTGGTGTATAACTTGCTTAAATCCAGATGGTACCGCTCCTTTTTCAAAGTAAGAAAAGAATCATGGCGGACACCTAAGCGTTGGGGATACCTTTTTCTCAACCTCTGGACAGTGTTTGACATCGCCTTCTTCCCCCTCCTCTTTGCCATTTTCTTCGTTCTACACAAGATAAAACGGGCGTTAAGGAGAAAAAGAGGTTTGTAAGGTGGTTTTTTTTTGCATTCGTTAAGGTAGTTGAAATCNGTCAGTCATTGTCACAATTGTGGAGTCACTACCAGTCCACTCCATGGAGATCTTACGACCATCCGAACTGCATTCGCAAACCAAACTGCTGGGGAGGAGGCCAAAAAGGTGAGGTAGACGCGTGCGCAACCGTTTTCCGGAGCTCTGTCGCGTTCTGTCCCTTAACTTGTTTCATAGGCTCATTTTTCGATCCTCGCCTTGGTAAGTTCTATGAGAGGTTTAGCGCCGCGTTAGCGTGAAACGGCAAATGTCAGCTTGCCTTTTCATGTTTCACATAAATAGCGTGAACCTTACTGCTTTGGCTTCGCGTGAGCTCACGTCATGGTGGATTTGAAGGCGCCCTTGTATGACTGACAAGAAATAGTTTGGGTGCCCTTCCTCCAGCAATTAACCTGTGGTCTGTGAGAGAAATTGATGAAGAAAATCCCACGTACACGGCAAACGCGAAACAGGTTACTTTCACGCAAAAAAGCAAAGCGCAACCGGCAAACGTGAAAAAATGGCGGGAAAAACAAAATCACGTGGTCACTCTTGCCGTTCTCGTTTCACTTAAACACGGTGCTAAATCTCTCTTTAGTTACCAATTAATATTCAACGTTGATTGATTTTGGCTACCGCACGCTACAGTTGATTTCTGGTTCAAATGGAAACTCTGAGGTATTTTTTTATTATTTTTCCTAAAACGAATTTGAGGGAATCATTAAGAGCAAGGTGTGTTTTTCCTTCCTCAGTGTTTCCTTGTCGAGAAAACTAATAACTGACATTATTAGAAGGCTGGTGTAGTTCCAAGATGATAATCATAATTGATAAACATTATAAATTTGGTGTTTAGAATCAAATAATTAAATATCACATTTTTTATTTTATTTTTACATTAGGTGGTCGTGCTCTTTCTTAATGACTCGTTACATATGGTGGGGGGAACCAGCACCGAGTTTCTATTGACCTTAGTAAAGGAGATAAAGGGTTATAAAGTTGACATCTTTCCCGTTGGTATCGGGGAGTACGCCAAGTTATCAGAATTAGGTGGAATGGCAACTAAAGATGGCACAGCGTGTCACTTTGGAGAATACGTTTCACCCGAGACGTTGGGGACAGCTGTCGTACAAGGTAACTTGAGCAGGTTTAACATTATGATAAGACAGCACACATTCTAAGAATGATTATCCCTAGTTGGTTTCGGAAAGTATTACTTGCCGTTATTACAATTCAAATTGAGAAAAGTTACAGCGGTGATGTATATTTAGCTCTCAGATCTCTCTTCACTGCGCGGAAGTGTGACCGGCTTTATAATTGAGATGATTCACTTTCCTTGCAGGTATCGAGGGAAAGAACATCTATGGTGAGTGTGGGCTATTTTTAGTACTTAGATTTCTAAAGATCGTTACATTTTTTCCTGAATTTTCGAGAGACTATCCTTGAAATCTGAGTTTTCTTTTGATAGTTTCTATCCTAAGCTTTCGTCTCAATCATTGTCTTCCTAGTATAAATATAGTTACTATCATATCTTTCAGAGAAATACAAGGATTACTTTACGACTCCTTATTTCGTCTTTGTTCGCGATACGCTGAGCTACCTTACCCTCCTTGGTCTTCACTTCACCATTTGCCTGTCCCCTTCAACTGTTGTCTTCCGTCAAATAGAATGGTTTATTTTAGTATTTTTCCTGGGACGCGTTTTAATGGAGGTGGATCAGTTTTTAAGCGCTAAAAATGCTAGAATAAAAGCACCAAGAGAAAATGGGGATGGATTCAGCCACCAGGTACCTGAGGATCAACAAGAAACAAATGAGGCTGGAGAAGACAAGGTTTTGCTGAAGAAGCCTACTGACAAAAAGGATGGAATAAAAGCACCAACGCTATCGAAGGGAAAT